TGGTGGTGGTGGTGGTGGTGGTGGTGGTGGTGGTGGTGGTGGTGGTGGTGGAGAAGGAGGGAGGTGGAGGAGGAGTTGGATGTGTTGTTTTTCTCACTCGTCGCCCCATCAGCCATCGGTCTACGCTGGCAGTCGACATGCCTGATGGAGGATGGACGGCCTCTCCACCCCACTACTTTAATGCGCACTTGGTGACACCTTGAATTGGAATGTGGAGAGAGAGAGAGAGAGAGAGAGAGGTCAGCACTACGATGGCGCATTTACGAGAGGACGATATGGTGATGCGAGGTGTGAGAGAGAAAGTTGTGTTCCCACTGTCACGAGGTGCGTGGGAAGGAGGAGAGATCGGCTGCGAAGGCTTGCGAAGGTCGTTTCGCATTGCGTCGAGGCATAAAAAGGCAGTGGAAGGAGAGGCGAGGGAGAAAGAGCGAGTTGACGCGAGCGACGCATGGCCCAGGTGACCACGCAGACATTGCAGACTTATCTGCTCTACTACCTCATTTACAAGAGCCTTCGTGATTGTTTTTGTTGTCGCTGTTGTTGTGGCTGTCGCTGTTGTTGCGGCGATGGCGGTGGCGGTTGTGGCTGTGGCTGTGGCGAAGGTAACCCCACCGGTGGAGGCGGAGGTGGCAGTTGCTGTTACTAGCTCCCATGATTAGTGTATGTGGTTGCCTACAAAAGTGTCTCTTTGGGAAGTTTATGTTTATCCAATTTAAAATCTTAGCCTTAACAGGTAATGAAGTTGTTAAAAGCACTTGAAATTGTTTCATGTTGCCTTTTTGCAGTCTCTTTACACCGCGTACACGCATAACCTTCACTGTGTCCGATCAAGCCCTCAAAGGATCCCTTTTTTCAAGTGGGATTTATTCTACCGGTGACATCCACGCTTTGCTTCTTTTTTGTTACCAAATTGTATTTAAAAATAGCAATGTTGATTTGGAAAAAATGCTCAACGAAATGGCTTTTCTTGGAGGATCATAACGGCATCCCGAACCCATTCACCCTCCCCACAGCTACCACAATTGTTCATTTTTGCACTTTATTTGCATTCTCTTACCTGTAAATGCCTAAAGAGTGATATCCTGACACACGTTTTCCTCGACCAGGAATTTCAGAGGTTGAGGTTTGAATCACACCTCCACCAGCCAATCAGAACAGGCGACTCGATATACGTCATCGTGGAATACCCCGTAAGCCAGTAGAAGACGGAGAACCAATTAATTCGTCTGGTTTTATGGAAACAGAGCGAAGGCAGTGGTGTGGCTTGAAGGAGTCATTCAAGGAGTTGAAGGGCAACGAGCTGACTAATTTGTCTGTCAAAAATAGCAACCTTTGTGAGGCTGGAAGATGAGGTGGAGGAGACGAGTGAGTGATTTCCTGCCTCATTTACAATTTCTCAGTCGTCAAAAAAGGTGTGCAAAAAAAAAACAAAAGATATTTTCACTTCTACCACAGTTAAGGTAACAACAAAACAGCTGCAGAAAAGGGAGAGAAAGGAAAAAAGTTCCCAACTAAGTGTTACCATTCAAAGGTGGGCGTGAAATACTGTCACTTGTCATGTCAAGCTTTCAAGCGTTAAAGATGTGGCACTGTTGACTGCACAAACACACACAGAACGAGGAGAGGCTTTAAAGATAAAGTAAAGAAGAATTGCGGTAGATCTTCGCACAAAACCAGAAAATGTACTTTGAGATTAAAATAAAGGCAAAAAAGTAAAAGAAAAAAGAGAGGGAAGAAGATATGAAAGAAAAGGGGGAGGGTGGAGAGGAGAAGGGGAGGGGAGGAGTGTAATAATAGGACGAAGTTGGACTATGACAACAACAAAGGGTGAAAGCAAATGCCTACTGAAAGAACAGTTTCTGCGCTAAGACCGCAAAAT